TTGTGGATCTATTTATGCGTTTGTAAAACGTTTTAAAAACGATAATAGCTCCATATAATATTATACACACTGGAAACATAATGATATTACATACTACTGACTTTGATACATTTCGGAAAAAAACGTTTAATCATATTGAAATGTAATGTAATCTGTATACACAGTGACACATTTTAAGTGTCAACCCTCAGACAAAATGAAGACAATATGGGATTTCAGAGGGTAAATTCTAAATACTTCATACTGAGCAATTTCTTCCAAATAAAGTTCTCAATTTAATTAAATGTTCCATTGATGTCTGACTATAAAGATGAAAGTCTGGTAGTGACTCAGTCCTCATTGCATTGCATTATCACCCAGAATGCGACACTGTGCAACACATTATTAAACCCTCAGTAGAGCTTGAGTTCAGATGGTGAATATTAGATGAACATTGACTTTAGTGCGATTTGTTTTATTGTTGTACAGGGGAAGAATATTGCAAGGCAAGCAGTTCTGCAGGACTTCTGCATTGTGTTTCTCTCTCTCTTTGTGTGTGTGTGTGTGTGTGTGTGTGTGTGTGTGTGTGTGTGTGTGTGTTTTGTCTTCTTGTTTGTAACTAATGAACCGAGCAGACAGAAGAGATGTGGGTGCAAAGTTTAAGGCCCTGCAGGAAACACAGTTTGTGTGTGTTTGCTGACTGTAGTGAACATAAGGCCAGCATGTTCATTCCGCCAACAGCAGTGATTTGAAAAAAGAAACCTCAACCATAGAAACAATCAGAAGTCAATCATCTCTGTGCAGTTTGTTCATTAAATAATCTCATTTCATTTTAGATCTCAAATTAGTTTGACTTGTTTCCATTACACTAAAGAGATAAAAACAATTCAGTATACCTTTAAGCCTTGTTCTGAATTATTGAAATAAATAATTACACTGTATTCCTCATGGAGTTATAGTTTTAACATTAAAATAATGTACTTGCAAAAACAACCAACTATCCTTTGTTAAAGATACAGATAATACATGTTGATTAGATGGAAAAAAGTAAGCACTGAAGCCTAAAGAGAGAACACAATTGCAGTTTCCTCCTTTGTGCTGTCATCAAACAGATTTTGTCAGTGTCTGGACGACAGTTTTGAAGCCTAAATTAGACAATCAATCTATTGCCATGGTGTTTATCTGGAGCCAGAAGAGGCCATATATGGATGAGAGGGTTGGGCTTGAGAGGAGTGAAGGCTAGTAAAGTATACACCTATAAGCTAATGCTAACACTAGCTTGGTAAGCATGGTGCATCTATAGTTGAAGATAACTGAATGAAGATGAAAAAAAAGGCTTTCAAAGCAATCACAATATGGCAACTTGTTAATACCCCCTGCTTTCTGGTCTATCTGGCTCTGAATGGGACCATATAGTTTACTAAATGAACATCATGATATGTTGTAGAATTCTTGAAACTAGAGTTTGAGGGGGGATTCAAGAAGACTGGATTGGATGATGAGCTGGACAAGAAAGGGACACATTTTTCAGTTTGATGTGCAGTCTAATCCTAACAGAGATGATACAAGTTTCAACGTGTTTTAACAAAGCTTTCTCCCTGAAATGAGACTATTCCATACCCGTCCAGCATAACGACCCACACAGTCTACACACATGAACAAAGGGTATGAGACTCTGGCAGCCCTGGACTAATTATATAAATAATATTTATTTAATTTTCAGATATTCTTTTCTTTTTTTTAAATGTGTATTAGTCTTAATACAGGGACAGCACTGTTGACATGATGACGGTAAAGTTTGTGCCTGACATCCCTTGTTAAAAATGTGGTGCATTTACCACCAACTCTAAGCAGATGGTGGCTGTTGAGTCGTCGCCTCTCAACCAGAAGGTTGAGGGTTTGATTCCCCAGCTGAGCAACATGTTCGTTGTGTCCTTGGGCAAGACACTTAACCCTGAATTGCTCCCGCTGCTTCAGTGGTGGTTTATGAATGGATTAGTTACTTCTGATGGATGATACTACATAGCGATCACTACCATCAGTGTGTGAATGGGTGGGTCTGACATGTGGTGTGAAATAGAAAAGCGCTATACAAGCTCAAGTCCAATTACCATTTAAGCAGACAGTAACATTTTCACTCTAGGAGTGTGTGCAGAGGTGCTGCTTGTTAACGGGAAAGGCAGGACTGCTTGGGGCCCCTGGCCAGTAGGACCCCACCCCGAGGTCTGACAAACATTAAACCATAGCAGTGGCTCAGAATGTGCACATTTTAAAATGACAGTAGGAAACCTCCCTAAGGGGGCCCATCTGACAGTACTCAATGTTGTTGCGCTGCTACGCATTCCAATATTCCTGTGAAAATTTACGTTGGTCACTTAAAGTTGCCCTTGGTGTCAGATTAGTTTATCTGATGGGGATGAATGCTGGTTGAAGGGGCCATGCCCACTTCTCCATCAAATAATCTTTAAAGCCAAAAAGAAAGAATCCTAAAGCTCACTGTACATGGGTGTAGAACTCTTAATGATAATAATTATTATTTTTTTCCAACAGGGAAGTACTACATTGCTACTATGACGATGGTCACAGCATCAACAGCGCTCACCATCTTCATTATGAACATCCATCACTGCGGTCCTGAGGCTCGACCTGTCCCACTGTGGGCCGAACGCTTCATCCTCAAATACCTTGCCCGCATCTGTTTCGTGTACGAGGTGGGAGAAAACTGCCTTGGCAGGACTTCATCCAAGAAACAAGCTCTGTCCCAGGAGGAGTCTGATGCCCCTTCAGCCAATGGCAACAGCAAAGGAACAAACTGGGACTTGAAAGGGCAGGAGTTGGGGAGCAATATGGAGGAGAACAGGGCTGGGGAGTCTCTGAAGGCAGGGCGGGATTTAAACAACCAAACGGACTGGAAGGAAGATCTGTTTGTGAACATCGACCACTCGGACGAGGGGGGAGCTGCAGGAGGACAGACAGGAGAGAGGGAGGAGTCAGACAGCACCTGTGGAGGAGAAGGAGAGGACGTCCAGGAAAAGAAAGGTGTAGGAGGTGAAGGGGGAGGCGGAGCCAGAGGAAAAAGGATGGAAATCCTGGTGAAAACCCAGTGTGTGTGCCAGCACCAGGGGCTGGGCAGGAACGTTCAGTATATTGCCAACTCGTACCAGGACCAGCGGGCTGCGCAGCTCCGCATTGGGGAATGGAGGAAGATCGCCAAGGTCATGGACCGCTTCTTCATGTGGCTCTTCTTCATCATGGTCTTCCTTATGAGCATCCTCATCCTCGGGAAAGCCATTTGATGGAGTCGTGGTGCACAGATTAAAGATGCTCTTGAATGTTTCTTGAAAGGGAATTTAGCATTTTAAACTCATGGCCCTATTTTTACATTTTAAGTTTTGGAATTTTGCCACTGGATTTCTTCTGTCTGCAGCCATGAAACTGGCTGTAGTGGCTGCAATAAAATCCAATCCAATCCCCAATTTTTGACTCTATCCACTGTCCTGTCTCTCAAATAAAGGAATACAAAGCCCAAAAATAAAAATGAAACTTAAAAAAAAACCCAAACAAGAAATGACTAAATCTAGGATTTCTATCTAGGATTTCTTTTTTTGTTGCAGTGGTAGCCAACAGGTATAGATATCGTTTGAGTTTTACTTGTATCAAAGATTAAAATTTCAGTATGGTGACTAGGTAAAATAACTAACTTTTTTTCACAACCTTAAAGAGCCCATATTATGCCTTTTTTGGGGTTCGTATATTTAATCTATGTACCTACTAAAGTATGTTCACAATAGCTAAAGTTCGAAAAAAGTGTGTTTTCATGAACTAACGCTCCATGCACCGGCTCGCTTCTGACTCTCTCTAAGGCTCTGAAGTGCCCACGTTCAGAGTCCCCACGTGTGCCAAGTCTGAACTGATTGGTCGGCCTGTCAGCTCTGCCGTAATTGGTCAGTCGCTCAGCACGGTTCTCGGAAATGCCTCTTTTACCATATTGGGAATGCAGCCACTGGCTCTGTCCGAGGGGAGCATAAACATTAGCACCTTAGCACTACTGTGCTACCGCAGGCTACGGCATATCGTCGGCGTGCTACAGAAGTTAACGGGCATACATCATGAGCTGTTGGGCTTGCCACAACGAGCCAATGGGCTTAGATCAGTGATCTCACACTGACAATGATGTCGGACTGACAAATCTTTATCGAGGGGGGCTAGAACCGAGTGTTACTTTCAGCTAATGCTACAGCTAACAGGAGGACATAGGAGAAGCTGCGTTTCCGCGGACTTTGAATTTTTGCACATAGATGTGCCTAAACATGCACAGGACACAAAACACACGAAAGAGCATATAAAACCAGAAAAAGCATAATATGGGACCTTTAACAATTCTTTTGCAGTTTATATTAACCAACAACAATTAATTAAACTATGTATAATGTATTAACATCATTGTGGCATTAGAATTACTTTTAAGCATTATAAATTAAATAAAAAATAAGTACATAAATACTCGCCCCCCTGGAGGGATCCTTTCTGTAATGTTGTAGTATTTTCTTTGATGTCATTTTTAATTTAGCCCTTAATTTTCAGGATGAGTTCAAATCTGTCTGAAACTATGAAAGGGCTTGACTACTGGAGAGCGTATAGTTGATATAATGTTGTATTTATAGCAGAAAGGGAAATATTACTATATTCTTTTTTTCTGCATTATTATTAATGTACAATTTAATTAAAAGTGGCTTAAGGATAGATCCCTGGGGTACTCCTTTGTTAACTTCAATAAAGGGTAACTTTTCATGACCTGCAACTAGCTCTGTTTGGTAATCATGAAACCAGTTACACAAAATCATATCAAGGCCAATAGAAGAATAGAATCAGCTTAATAAGATGGAGTGGTTGATGGTGTGACTTAGAATAACAATATAAGCCTTTCAGTGACTATAACAACACCTTTAAGTGGGCACACTTTGATTTGGTGCATTTTCCCATTGAGATTTTCTTGCAGCCACTACAGTCTGTGTAACTACTAATGGCTGGAGCAAACTACTAGAGAAAATCCAGTTTTCTTTAGTGTTTTAGATCCACAATATTTAAAAACTGGGCCCAGATTTAACAATACCAGAAAAATGTCAATGATGAACAGATAAAAACAGCATTGATTGTTTGATGAGCTTCATTTCACTGATATCCAACTGTTTGCGATGATCAAAAATATATTTGTTTACAAGAAGAAATTAACTGACACAGTATGTTACAGTTTTTAAGAAGTTATGCTTGCCACACTTTTCTATCATAATATTTGAGTTTTAATGGGTGACTGTTTTTTTTCTAAATGCATGCAGGATTTTTCATTAATGGTAAACATTGAAAATAAGGACATCTGAGACTGCAACCAACAATACTGTTTTTGTGTTTATTAGTTTATAGTTTGGAACAGTAAATAAAATGTGAAAAAGTCTGTATTTCCACTCAAAGTATTCAAACCCAAGATGAAATGTGATAAATTACTTCTTATCAATTTATCATGAAATTGAACATTTCACAGCTGTGAATTTTATTAAGTATAGCTGGAATAAGGAAAGGAAAAGGCAAGTTAGTAGGACAAGATGTGTCTAACATGAAAGACTATCACTAGCCTGGTCAGATTTTAACGACTAAAGCTGATAACAATTTTAATCGCTTGACAGCCCTAATAAAACCAGATGTTTACTGCATAAAAGTGCATGAAACCATCTTTCCAATCTAACTTTCCTCACACCTCCCATGATACAGATCTGCTAACCTGATGAGCAGATAAATGCAGGGTTGTCACTTGAAGTTCAAAATTGAAGATGGTTTCATGAAGTCTTATTATATTATATGGGTTGTTTTTTTTTTTTATAAAGAGAGCTATTTAAAAATTATAACAGCATACAGTTCTGTACAGTGTATGTCCCTATCATAATATTTGAATCTTTGTAACATTTAATCAATAACCACATCTAAGCAGTGTTGATTGGAAATATTAAGGTGTAAAACAAGTTGAATTAAGTGACATTTTTACAGCCCAATCCCTGATAAAAAAAATGTAACACTTTTTTTGCAGTGTATATAGACTTCACAGTATAAAAACAAGAAAAATGTCAAATTCAGCTCCGTTTCTACTTGTTCAATATTCTTTCTGTGTGGTGTTCGATATTTGTCAAATTACACATTTATTCCTTAGACACTCTTTATGCCATTAACTCATTAAAGTTTTTTATTATAATAATTCTGGTTACTGTGGTTTGTGGAAAGTTTTACTTAATTCATAAAACAAATGAAATATATTTTTAAAAACTGATATTTCCTCTTGAATTGTTTAGCTTTTTTTTTTATTGTCAATCTTCAAAATTACCATGATGCATATTCCATTTTAGCCTACTTTGTTTTTAGATTTACTTAGTTTTTCTCAATATAAGGAATATAGGCAGTTGATAGTTCAGAATTGAGTACTTCTCACTTCCTGTTAGAGTGGTAGTCTGGTTTGTGAGCACCAGAGGGCGCTGCTGCTGCAGTCATATTAAGAGAGTATCACAGTGGATGTGAAGAGAAAAGTAGAGGAACTTGGGTATGCAGTTAGATCAGTCTCAATATTCACAAATGCACACAGAAGGATTCACAAATGTATTTCTGATTCACACACAATTATTTATAGTTTTATATATATGTACTAATAGAAATCCACAAATATATGATATACATATATATATTAAAAAAACACATTTGTATCTTGTTCCATTTATATACAAACATATATGTTCAGTCTGCATTTACAAACTGTTTGTCATTATGAACCTCACTGCATTTGTGTGTGTGACTTCTGAGACTCCTCTGCCGTGGTTAGATTCACAAATGCATTATTTTCCAGCAGGGAAATGTCTGTAGCCAACCAGATGTCTCCTTCCTATTCAGCCAATCACAGTAGCATATAGATTCAAGGGTATGTTTTAATGTGATCACTTTAGCGTTGCTAAATTGATGAAATATATTTGTGTGTGCATTGAAATACATTTGTGAATCCTTCTGTGTGCATTTGTGAATATTGAGACTGATCTAACTCTATACTTGGGTGCCCATACATTGAGATACCGCAACAAGAGGCTAGAACAAAGCACAACTATATATTTTCATGAAATTAACTTGACCAATTTATGAAATGTATAGTATTTTACTTCAAAATTGCTTTTTTTGTGTTGTTTTTTTGCATCTTACTTTTTAGAGTGAAATTTGAGGCTTCTCAGAAAGGGACAGATTCTGTCTTATGTTACATGTATCTCTGTAAAACAATATCAGTGTCACCAAATTTGGACTGGACGTTCACAGTGAAACAAGATTTCAAAACACACACACACACACACACACACACACACACACACACACACACACACACACACAATATGTAATGAGTACTTCAAAATAAAAGCAGTGTTGAACTCAAACAGCAAGTAAAGTGCTCTCAGCTAAAGACAGTACAAATTCAAAATAAAGACCAATCTTTTATTGTGAATGCCAAATTATGGAATTTTAAACATGTTATAAAAGTGCAATTAATCACAGTTACCAATTAAAATTATCAATTAATCAAGTTTGACAGCCCTAATATATAGGTCTGTCATTTTTTTAAAGTGAGGACACCAATCATATCATGTTTATCTTCCAAAGACTATTATCTTTGGAAGATATAACAGATTATTATTTGACCATTCCCTTCATTCTCTGCTGTCACCAGCATAAAAGTGCAAATCTTATTCTTTGAATGATCTGCAAATAGTATTGACTGAAACAAGAAATAAAAATTCATGACACAAATCATCACTGTATAAGTACAAAAATGTTTCATAAAGAAATTGAAATAAATTAAAGCAAATGGAAATGTTTGTTTGTATGTGTAAGGAATCGTACGATATAAAAAATAAGGCAATATTGACAAATATAAATGTATGGTTTGTGTAATAATATGAAGGAGACTTTTTCTGGCATCAGTACCAGCAGGGTTAATGTTGAGCTGGAATGAACAAACAGAACTACATTTTTTCAGACATATGACTGTTTTAACAGGAGATAGGCCTACTATACTTTGGAACAGCCTGCCAGAGGAGATCAGACTTTCAGTCCCTTGTTTTACTTCTCTACTTAAGACATTCTTTTACAAAAAATGCTTTTACTCTGTGATTTCCTTTTATTTGTTTTTATTTTTATTTTATTAGTCTGACTTTTAGTGTGTTTGTTTACTTCCTGTCTGTTGCCTTTATTGTCTGTTGTGAAGCACTTTGTTACTTGTATAGAAAGTGCTATACAAATAAAGTATTATTATTATTATTATTATTATTATTACCTGATTATCTGATATATTTTCTTCTGATGCCTGGCCCTAATTGTCCCACGTTAAAATGAGATCTTAAAATGAACATTTCATGAAGCTACATACACATTACATGACCTTTCAGAAACATAGCATTGAACAACTCAATTTCAATAAAAATGATTTCGCAATATGTGGCATTCCTGATCAAATCACAAAACACAAAAATCAAAAAGCTACATTTTAGTCCAAACATTTAAAAAGTGTTTTCTTTTTTAATCTGTACCAATTAATTTTGGAATAATCTGCGAACAGTCTCTTGGGAGTAACATAAACCCTCACACTCTCAGTATTTATTATTACAGTGAAATTGTGAAGGCATTTTTGTACCACCATGTTTGCACGAACAAATCTACACAGCATGACATCACAAAGACAATAACTACTCTGTTCTATATGTGTGAATAATAAGAAAAGAAGAATCTTGGATCAGTTATTTTCACGATCAGAAATTGTTTTTATAGTTTGTTTGTAATTCACTCTGAGCCATTATTTGCTTCATTATTTATAATTACACTTTGATTATTGTAATTCTTTTTTTTAAATGTTCTGTCTTCGATTTAGGGACAGGGGAAGACACACATCTTTTTCTACTTTTATGTTGCAAACCTACTCCCCTACATGGGTGCGTACAAATGCAGTATGGTATGGAAATGTTTTTTTTTTTCTCTTCTGGACGAGCTATATGTGGCCACAATCCAGTATTGGTGAATTCCCCCTCTTTTACACCAGTACAGTTTCTACTGTTGTGTTTTTGTTCATTTTCCTCGAGAAGAACTGAGATAGAAAAAAAAAAAAAGTCAGAATAACATGACATAAACTTTGCCATAGAAACTGTCAACAGTAAGCCAAAACAGTTGTTAAACAATAATATGTTGCATGCTGGGCGCTCAGGGGACTAACACTGCCCCCTGGTGGTCCACCAGTTTCATCACTGTGTGTTCCAGTTACCACAGCAGCCAGTAATGAGTGTTAATGTTTTTGAAACAGAGGCGACCATTAATGAGGTCCACTGTGAGCTGCTGACTAAGTAAACACTTATCAACAGTATTTGATGGTAATTAGTCCTCTGAGAGCAAAGAGAGGATGATACTAGATGTTTATCAGAGCTCAGAGGGTGACACTGTTTACAGGAGGGGGTAATTTAAGCTCCTGGGAGTCACGTCATGTGTGATCTAGCATTGTCTGCTAACTTGTCTTGGCTTCCCAGCAGGAAACTTCTAATCTACTTTTGATTAATTTTGGTGTGAAAACCTTTTGACAAAAACGGTTACCGTATTTTCCGCACTATAAGGCGCACTTAAAAGCCTTTAATTTTCTCAAAAAACGGCAGTGCGCCTTATAATCCGGAGCGCCTTATATATGGATCAATTGGTTAATTGGTTGATCCATACTGGTTGTACACGGCGCTCAGCGACACTGACTCGGATAATGACGAGAGGGAGCCGGGCATGTTGGATGCCGTACTCGCAAAACTGTTCAATTCGGACACTGAAGAAGAAGAATTCGAGGGATTCGTGGACGGGGAATGAACTGAAAAAGTGAGCTCTACGTGTTATACGTAACTGAACAATGTTGAGTTATGCACTAACGTTTGAATTAGCGGTATCAGACTGTGTTTCTTTTACGTGTTTACAACTGAACAAGGCTGGGAGATATTGTGAATATGCACATTAACGTTTGAACAACGTTGAGTTATTGTGAATGCACTAATGAATGAACAATTTCGAGAGTTACTATATTGTGAATGCACTAACGTTTGATTTAGTGGTATCAGACTGTTTCTTTTACTACGTGTTTACTGAATCAGGGAAAAGTTCCCCTTCACGTTTGGGAGAAGAGGAGTGGATGCATAACGCAACCCCAGTCAAACGTTTGACTGCAGCATCTTCTATTCTATGCGCCTTATAATCCGGTGCGCTCTATATATGAAAACAGTTCTAAAATAGGCCATTCATTGAAGGTGCGCCTTATAATCCGGTGCACCTTATAGTGCGGAAAATACGGTATATGGAGTCCTGACAATTTGCATTAAGATAAACATATACAATGGTTTAAAGATAAACTGCTCTCTATCAGTAACCCATCTTTAAGTTAAAGATCTGGGTGAATTGGAGGCCTGGATGGGTAAAAACATACAGCTAACCCGTCGATGGTCACACTGATGTCTTGCTTCCTATCCTGTATTCTCTGGGTAGCATCTTAATCTTGGAAGACTTTGAGTTTGACCTTTAACCTCTCAGGAGAGTAACATGAGCTTAGGGCCTTGCCAGTTAGCGGAAGTTAGCTTACAAGAAGAAAACTACGTCCAAAACCTGTGCAGCAATTGACAGTTCTCCACCTCAGAAACCAAGTCTCGTGGACTGATTTTGAGGAAGAGAAACTTTGTTAAAACTCTGTCCGTCTTAACGCTTTGCAGAAAATGTGTTAAATACAACGACAGAATGAAGAATCTTAAATGTTGAGAAAGTAAAGCAAAACCTGTGCTTGGATGCTAATAGTAGCAAGCGGTAGCCTAACAGACCCAAATATTAAACAGTTTCTCAGGGCCAAAACTACAATTATCCCTTTAAACCTCAAACAACCTTCAGGATGACGTCCATGCTGACAGTCTGGCTTTAAAAATCTGTAGATAGCCTTTCCACAGCACACACTTCTACAGGTTTGTAGATAGAAAGCGGGACATAATGAGCACAAAGAGAAGTGAAAGTACAATGAGAAGACCTTGTTACAGGCTATAGTGTCTTCAGAGACAGAGGGCAGCTCCCTGCTTGTAGACCCTGAATGCCTCATGGCAGTTTTTATTTCTATTAACCTGCTGGTCACTGAGACCCCTGGGAGCTCAGAGGCCTCAAGGACACTGATTATAAGTCAAATTGAATTCCACTTCTCAGCCATAAGCTGTTGAGAGAGTCCTCTGGCAAAAGTGTTTGTTGCACTGATGGTACAGGTACAATATTTTGCTGACCAGTCATTTCTGAATCTGAAAAAGAAACAGATTTTCTTGTGATTTACTCTTATTTACTCTAATATCTTAAGTTTGCTGAAATAACATAATGATACAGATCTGTAAAAAGTCAAGTCAAGCTTTGTCAGGTCTGTCCTCAAGAAAGAAAAAACAACTTTTAAAATGTCTGTTGAATGGAGCTCTGGTAAAATATTTCTGATGTGTACAAGAAAGTCTGACAATAAATGTTGATTGGCCTTGCAGACGGTGTCAAGCAGATTGTATGCTTAGGTTGAAATGTTTGATCTAGAACTAGATCCTTATCTGCACTCACATGCAAAATCGTTTTAAAAAGATAAAATCGTAGTGAGATGACCACAGATGGGAGGCAGGATGTTATTATGGTGGACTTCATTAAGCCTGCTTGTTCTCCTTACAGACTGTTTTTCCTGTATACATGAAAACTAACGTGATTGGTCAATTCTACTTGGACTCCAAAATGCTGAAGACACAGGTTACTCCCTAAGGCGAAATCCTGTCCATAAAACATGGTACCTAAGAACAACATCTTGCTGGTGCCTGCAGATGTTCAAAGCAGGGAAGTGGGAGGAACAATAAGTTTGAAGCTAAAGGCAGTCAGGGTAGGTCTATGGAAACATCTTCACGATTGCTCATGATTTTTGATCAAGTCAAGATCATATGAATTTGATATAGTTCTTTATTGTTTGTATGTCTCACTAGAAGGATCACTTACGGAAGCATCACTGGTAATATCTTGGAAAAGTTCATGTTTCTGTTTTGTGTAGTGTTAACATCAGTGTTTCACAAAATGATCTTTAATGGATGTAATTTATAACACCTGTCGCATTATACATTTTCCATCAGTCTTTCAGGTTGATGGAAAACTACACCTACAACAGCTTGACGCTCCAGCTGGAGGGGTTAAATGTCTCCAAGGATTCCCTCTACCCTGCCTTTTTCTTCTTCCTTTTCTCCTACCTCTTCATCATGATTGCAAATTTAGGTATTGCTTTTATGGTTTTCATTGACGAGAACCTTCACCAGCCTATGTACCTACTTTTTTGCAACCTTCCTTTTAATGACATCATTGGAAACTCTATCATGGTGCCTCGTGTGCTGATGGACATGTTGCTGCCACCTTCTGAGCGCCTCATCAGTTATTCTGAATGTGTTGTGCAAGCTTTCACCACACACATGTTTGGTACCACATCCCACACAGTGCTTATGATCATGGCTTTTGATAGATACGTGGCCATCTGTAATCCTCTGCACTATACAACAATAATGAGCAACAGAATGGTGATGAAGCTGACAGTTTCTGCCTGGGGGGTGGCTTTTGCTTTGGTTGCGATTCTTCTCGGTCTGACCATGCGTCTGAACCGCTGCAGGTCTATGATCATGAATCCTTACTGTGATAATGCCTCCTTGTTTAAACTATCCTGTGAAAGTGTTTTTATTAATAATGTATACGGCCTCACTTTCACTGTGGTCTTGTTCACATCCTCTATAGGAAGCATTGTTCTCACATACACAAAGATCACAGTAGTTTGTCTGATGAGTAAGAACAAGTCTTTGAACAGTAAAGCCTTAAAGACCTGCAGCACTCACCTCTTTGTGTATCTCATCATGATGTTTAGTGGATGCCTTGTAATCTTTCTGCATCGCTACCCTCAGTACTCAGACTACAGAAAATTGTCAAGTATTTTATTTCATATCATCCCTGGAAGCCTCAATCCCATTATATACGGCGTACAGTCTAAAGAGATTCGGAAATTTTTGTTAAATATCTTTCGGCACAAGAAAGTTGTGGCATCATGACAGAGATTATTTCAAAGAAGTTATTTATTTTAAAGCTTTCTACTATTTTCATTGATCTAGTGCTTGTCCTTTTATATGTAAGAGTCAAGCTGATAACAGGCTTTCTTTGTGTTACAGCTTGATAATAACAAAGTCATAAGTGTACTGTGGTAATATAAAGTGGCTGTCTGCAACTGTCTATATACAGACAAATACCCTTTTTGTTTTCCATCAATAATTAAAATAATAAAATATTTTAACTAAAGAGTCAAGTTTTCTTTTAATGTGTCTGTGGGGATTTTTCTATGAAGACAGAAAAGTCCAGTCACTTATTTCCAACGTGCTAGCTGTTGATAACTGTGTGAACAAACAGCATCATGACGCCATTGTTGAAGTCCTGTTTGCAGTTTGCCACAAGCCATGTGGGAAACACAACAAACATGTGGAGGAAGTTGCTCTGGTCGGATGAGACCAAAATTGAAGTTTTTGGCCTAAATGCAAAACGCTATGTGTGGCGGAAAACTAACACTGCACATCACCTTGAACACACCATCCCCACTGTGAAACATGGTGGTGGCAGCATCATGCTGTGGGGATGCTTTTCTTCAGCAGGGACAAGTAAGCTGGTCAGAGTTGATGGAGAGATGGATGGAGCCAAATACAGGGCAATCTTAGAAGAAAACCTGTTAAGAGTCTGCAAAAGACTTGAGACAGGGGAGAAGGTTCACTTTCCAGCAGGCCAACGAGCCTAAACATACAGTCAGAACTACAATGAAATGGTTTAGATCAAAGCATATTCATGTGTTAGAATCGCCCAGTCATAGTCCAGACCTAAATTCAATTGAGAATCTCTGGCAAGACTTTAAAATGTCTGTTCACAGATGCTCTCCATCCAATCTGACTGTGCTTGAGCTATTTTGCAAAGAAGAATGGGCAAAAATTTCAGTCTCTAGATGTGCAAAGCTGGTAGAGAACTACTCCAAAATACTTGCAGCTGTAATTGCAGCGAAAAGTGGTTCTGCAAAGTATTGACTCAGGGGGGCTGAATACTTTTGCACGCCACACTTTTCAGTTTTTTATTTGTAAAAAAATTGAAAATCACATATCATTTTCCTTCCACTTCACAATTATGCGCCACTTCGTGTTGCTCTATCACATAAAATCCCAATGAAATACATTTATGTTTGTTATTGTAACGTGACAAAATGTGGAAAAGTTCAAGGGGTATGAATACTTTTGCAAGCCACTGTACTCAGTAGTATTGAGATTAATGAATATACTGTAGTTTAACCCATAATATTTACGATATCTTAGTCACTGTTAATTAAACCATATTTGAACAGGTTGATGCCCAGAGAGGTGGAAAGTGTGTGCTGCAAGCAGCTTAACGCCGTACATAAAGACAAATAGTTTTTCCAATTTAAATTTTTTCCAAGTTAATGTATGTTATGTTTGGACATGTATTTTATATAAAGTCATTTCATTTATTTAATAGACTTTTATATAAAGAAAGAATGGTAAAACATTCCACATTTTTAAAATTACAGAAACGGGTCTCCTCAGATCCCGAAACACTTAGAGAGTGTTTTTAAAAGAAGAGGTGATCCAACAGTGGATCACCTCACATCACCCTGTCTCAACTCTTCATGAAATTTAATATATTGCCTCTTAAAACAATGATGTTTCTTGGTTCAACATTTTACATGTTGCCTTTGAGCTATTTTTCTAGATCATTTATAACAATCAGAAGAGTCATGACTGTCGTATTCAAAGGTCAATAGAATTGTTTTTTCTTAATCCAGCACTTAAAAGTTGTGTGCTTTTTGCAGCTTGCATACAGTTTCACTTGAATCATACCGTCCCTGACGTAATGATGACAGACTCCTCCTGAGTTAAACAATGTCTATAAAACTTCACACAAGAGAAGATGTTGTCTGCTGGTTATCAGCAGTGGACCGGGAACACAAGAGGCTGAGAGAAGCTTATTGCTGAAGTTACTTTAATATTTTGTTGAGCCTGGTAGCATCAATCTTTGGATGTCATGATGTAATTCAAATGTCATTGTTTTGTTATATGAGGTCAAATGTTTCTGTTTTGTTTAGTTTTAATTTTAATTTATCATAAAATTAATCTCTAATTAATATAATTCATGAAAACACCTTTTGCATTACGATTGCTCTTTTGTCTTTCAGTGTGATGGAAAACTACACCTACAACAGCTTGACGCTCCAGCTGGAGGGGTTAAATGTCTCCAAGGATTCCCTCTACTCTGTCTTTTTCTTCTTCCTTTTCTCCTACCTCTTTATCATGATTGCAAATTTAGGTATTGCTTGTCTAGTTTTCTTTGACAAGAACCTTCACCAGCCTATGTACCTACTTTTTTGCAACCTTCCTTTTAATGACATCATTGGAAACTCTATCATGGTGCCTCGTCTGCTGATGGACATGTTGCGGCCACCTTCTGAGCGCCTCATCAGTTATTCTGAATGTGTTGTGCAAGCTTTCACCACACACATGTTTGGTACCACATCCCACACAGTGCTTATGATCATGGCCTTTGATAGATACGTGGCCATCTGTAATCCTCTGCACTATACAACAATAATGAGCAACAGAATGGTGATGAAGCTGACACTTTCTGCCTGGGGGGTGGCTTTTGCATTGGTTGCGATTCTTCTCGGTCTGACCATGCGTCTGAACCGCTGCAGGTCTATGATCATGAATCCTTACTGTGATAATGCCTCCTTGTTTAAACTATCCTGTGAAAGTGTTTTTATTAATAATGTTTATGGTATCACTTTCACTGTGGTCTTGTTCACATCCTCTATAGGAAGCATTGTTCTCACGTACACAAAGATCACAGTAGTTTGTCTGATGAGTAAGAACAAGTCTTTGAACAGTAAAGCCTTAAAGACCTGCAGCACTCACCTCTTTGTGTATCTCATCATGGTGTTTAATGGAATGTCTGTCATCGCTCTTCATCGCTACCCTCAGTACTCAGACTACAGAAAATTGTCAAGCATTTTATTTCATATCATCCCTGGAAGCCTCAATCCCATTATATACGGCATACAGTCAACAGAGATAAGGAAATTTTTGTTAAATATCTTTCGGCACAAGAAAGTTGTGGCATCATGACAGAGACTATTTCAAAGAAGTTATTTATTTTAAAGCTTTCTACTATTTTCATTGATCTAGTGCTTGTCCTTTTATATGTAAGAGTAAAGCTGATAACAGGCTTTCTTTGTGTTACAGCTTGATAATAACAAAGTCATAAGTGTACTGTGGTAATATAAAGTGGCTGTCTGTAACTGTCTATATACAGACAAATACCCTTTTTGTTTTCCATCAATAATTAAAATAATAAAATATTTTAACTAAAGAGTCAAGTTTTCTTTTAATGTGTCTGTGGGGATTTTTCTATGAAGACAGAAAAGTCCAGTCACTTATTTCCAACGTGCTAGCTGTTGATAACTGTGTGAACAAACAGCATCATGACGCCATTGTTGAAGTCCTGTTTGCAGTTTGCCACAAGCCATGTGGAGAAACACAACAAACATGTGGAGGAAGTTGCTCTGGTCGGATGAGACCAAAATTGAAGTTTTTGGCCTAAATGCAAAACGCTATGTGTGGCGGAAAACTAACACTGCACATCACCTTGAACACACCATCCCCACTGTGAAACATGGTGGTGGCAGCATCATGCTGTGGGGATGCTTTTCTTCAGCAGGGACAGGTAAGCTGGTCAGAGTTGATGGAGAGATGGATGGAGCCAAATACAGGGCAATCTTAGAAGAAAACCTGTTAAGAGTCTGCAAAAGACTTGAGACAGGGGAGAAGGTTCACTTTCCAGCAGGCCAACGAGCCTAAACATACAGTCAGAACTACAATGAAATGGTTTAGATCAAAGCATATTCATGTGTTAGAATCGCCCAGTCATAGTCCAGACCTAAATTCAATTGAGAATCTCTGGCAAGACTTTAAAATGTCTGTTCACAGATGCTCTCCATCCAATCTGACTGTGCTTGAGCTATTTTGCAAAGAAGAATGGGCAAAAATTTCAGTCTCTAGATGTGCAAAGCTGGTAGAGAACTACTCCAAAATACTTGCAGCTGTAATTGCAGCGAAAAGTGGTTCTGCAAAGTATTGACTCAGGGGGGCTGAATACTTTTGCACGCCACACTTTTCAGTTTTTTATTTGTAAAAAAAATTGAAAATCACAGATCATTTTCCTTCCACTTCACAATTATGCGTCACTTTGTGTTGCTCTATCACATAAAATCCCAATGAAATACATTTATGTTTGTTGTTGTAACGTGACAAAATGTGGAAAAGTTCAAGGGGTATGAATACTTTTGCCAGCCACTGTACTCAGTAGTATTGAGATTAATGTATATACTGTAGTTTAACCCATAATATTTACGATATCTTAGTCACTGTTAATTAAACCATATTTGAACAGGTTGATGCCCAGAGAGGTGGAAAGTGTGTGCTGCAAGCAGCTTAACGCCGTACATAAAGACAAATAGTTTCCTCAGACAAAATGATCATTCAAAGTATGAATACACAAGATTAATACTGGATCCTCAAAACTGAAACACCTTCTAACACATACTCCAAGAGGTTCAGAATAAATGTCTGGAGCCTTCAGAGGAGCCATGACTCTTAATCCAGGCTTTGAGCCTGTCTGCCTGAACCCCTACTCCCTGCAGAATGCTCTGAACATTTATCAGACAAACCATGGACCGCTGAAGATGAAGGCGAGAGCTGTGTAAGTCATTTTTATTTAGGAATGTCAAAATAACAGTTACCGTATTTTCCGCACTATAAGGCGCACTTAAAAGCCTTTAATTTTCTCAAAAAACGACAGTGCGCCTTATAATCCGGAGCGCCTTATATATGGATCAATTGGTTAATTGGTTGATCCATACTGGTTGTACACGGCGCTCAGCGACATTGACTCGGATAATGACGAGAGGGAGCCGGGCATGTTTGATGCCGTACTCGTCCAACTGTTCAAT